AGTTAACTTCACCAGCTTTGGAGGCTGACCTCCTAGAAAAGGAGTTGGTTTCCTGCAAAGCTCTAGGAGAACCAGCTATGACCCAGTGCTTAGTGGAATAAATCCTAGTCAACTGCAAAGTTGGGAACCAAGCTCTTTGATCAAGCGCGGGGAGGGCATGGTATATAGTATATACACAATTATGTGCTTGTATAATAAACGGATGGCCGGGGTGGAGCAAACAGTTAAGTGCTCAGCTCTAGCTGAAAGGCTGGTGGCTAGAACCCACCCAGAGATGCCTTGGAAGACAAGCCTTGAGATCTGCTTCTGAAAGGTCACAACCTTGAAAACCTTATGGAGCACTTCTACTCTGCACACACGGGGTTGCCATGAGTTGGAATCGACTCACTGGCAACTAACAACAACAATAACCACACCACAAAGCTGCAGCTAGAGATCAAAGCCACAAAAGTCAACAATTAGAAGGGTACTCACACCTTCGTTCTTGTCACTTAAATTTCTACCCACCCTTAAAAAAAAAACAAAAAAGTTTTTATTTAAAAAACTTCAAAGCTACAGAAAAGTTGCAAGAAGAGTTCAATGAACACCCATCTCTCACCCAGATTCATCAATTAACATTTTGTCACATTTGCTTTTTCCCTCTCCTTGCCCCTTTCCGTCTTCTTAAGCAAGCTAAACAAACAAAAACATAAAAAAATTAGAGACCTATTGATGGTTACGAGGGTGGGGAGGGAGGGAGAAGGGTACTCATTAAGTAGAAAGTAGACAAGAATTATCTTAGGTGAAGGGAAGGACAGCACGCACTACAGGGGAGGTCAGCACAACTGGACTAAACCAAAGTTAAGAAGTTTCCTGAATACAACCAAACACTTCGAGGGACAGAGTAGCAGGAGCACGGTTCTGGGGACCATGGTTTCAGGGGACATCTAGGTCAACAGGCATAACAAAGTTTATTAAGAAAATGTGTGTATCTCATTTTGGTGAGTGGCATCTGGGGTCTTAAAAGCTAGTGAGCAGCCATCTAAGATGCATCAATTGGTCCCAACCCATCTGGAGTAAAGGAGAATGAAGGAAACCATGGACACAAGGAAAGTATTAGCCCAAGAGACAGAAAGGGCCACATAAACCAGAGACTTCATCAGCCTGAGACCAGAACTAGATGGTGCCCGGCTACCACAATGACCGCCCTGACAGGGAACAAAATAGAAAGTCCCTGATGGAGCAGGAGAAAAGTGGGGTGCAGAACTCAAATTCTAATAAAAAGACCAGACTTAATGGTTTGATTGAGACTGGAGGGACCCTGGAAGACATGGTTGCCGCACTCTCTGTTAGCCCAAAACTAAAACCATTCTCCAGGCCAACGCTTCAGACAAAGATTAGACCAGACTATGGACATAAAATGATACTCATGAAGAGTGTGCTTCTTAGCTCAAGTAGATACATGAGACTAAATGGGCACCTTTTGTCCAGAGGCAAGATGAGAAGGCAGAGAGGGTCAGGAGGCGGTTGAATAGACACAGGAAATCCGAGGTGGAAAGGAGGAGTGTGCTGTCACAGTATAGGGAGAGTAACCAGGGTCACAAAACAATGTATCTATAAATTTTTGTATGAGAGACTAACTTGAATTGTAAACTTTCACTTAAAGCACAACAATGAAAAAAAAAATTAGAGACCCTATATGAGATTTATTTAAAACAAATTTGGCTGAACCACTTGAGGGTTATTTGTAGACATTTTGATACCTCATCCCTAAATTCTTCAGCGTGTATTTCCTAAGAACAAAGGCATCCTCCTACACAACTGCAATATAATTATTGCACTTAGGAATTTTAACATTAAATGCAATATTATTATCTAATAAAGTACACATCCAAATTTCCCCAACTGTCCAATATAGCTGTTCCCCGCTGTGATCTAGGGTACATCAAGGATTATCTACTGCATTTAGTTGTATGCCAGTTCAGTCCGCCTTAGTCTAGAACAGTTCTGCAGCCTTTTGTGACTTTCATGATATTGACACAGACTCAAGGACAACTGTTCTGCAGAATGTTAAAACTTCATTTTAAAAGAAACGAGTTGGACTTCTTGTATCTCACTCTGAATTGCATTCTAGTATACTAGATCTGTTTTTAACATAAATTATTTAAAAAGTAAACACAGAATTACAGCATTGGAATTGGGCTCAGAGATTACCCTCTCAAATCTCCTCTGGTTATAGATGAGCGAACTGAAACCGAGAAGAGTTTGGAAACTTACAGGTTTAAAATGGGATCTGACCTCCTTCTCTTTCCTGACCTTTCTACCACATTACACATTACACGATCCCCTAGGTCATCTTCTGTTAGATGACAAGAAGCTTTCAGGCCATTTTTATACTCTGAATATAAGTTTAAAATGTTACGGTTAGACATTTACAAATTTAAATGTTAAAAAGTCTCTTTTGGCATATTTTATAAAACAGCATCCTTCTCGTATTGCTTGAATAACTTTTGCAAATGCCACAGATATGAACAGCTTTTTCTGGGGCAGGTGCACCCCCGTTAGTTCTGGCCCAGCAAGAACAAGGACATGCAGACACAAAGATCTACACAGTGTGTGAAAGGGAAGGATCATATTCTGGAGGCAGTCTGAGTTTTAGTTCTTTGATTTTATTAATTCTGCAACCTTGGAACAAATCATTAAATCTCTCTTAGACTATTTTCCTTCATGTATACGACAGGAATAATGATTAGCAAAATCTTACAGCTTGTTTTCAAGATTAATGGAATTATTAAATGCTACTCCTCCTCGCTGAACCTCACTGCTCCATTCCTAGTTTACTCAGCCTCAGGAAAATGGCTGGTAGTGAAAAGCTTATAGTTTCCTCCCCCTTCCAGCACTCGCGGTGGAAGAAACATGAAGTTTATTAATTAAATGCAGTTTCTACTTAAAGGAACTTTAACTATTTATTAAATCTTTACTAAATGCTGGTGCTTGCTTTTGAGTATAGCACAGGTACGATACCAATTCTGCTAGTGAAACACACACAGGATACATATTTACACTCGGGGGGGGGGGAAACTAGAATGAAATATTCCAAAATGTTAACAGTACATATCTCCATCTGGTGGGATTCTAACAGATTTGGTCCCTTACTCTTCTGTAATTTTCCAAAATTTGTACAAGAGGCATGTATTACTTTCACAATAAGAAAAGTTATACTTTTATTTCTTTTATAATAAAGATTTTAATTATATCTTATAAAAGGATTACATTCTAAAATTGTGTATAATTTCAAAATCCCCTTGACATTACATTAGAAAGTCAAGGCCTCACTGGAGGCCAACATACTCTCTCAATCCAGGAAATCCAACTGCTGTTTCTTCATTTTGGCACAAGGTATAATAAGCATTGGCATTTAAGAATCATGTTGCATAAAAAAATAACTGTCTTTAAATTCAGAACCACACTTACTGCAAGATGCTCATGCTGTAAGGGCCTAACTGGGCAAACAGCAGACACACGACTCCTATTTCACACTCAAGGAGGACAAGTGAATGGTGGGTGGAATTGTTCTGCAATATTTAAATCATTATTTTCTCTTCTTTTTACTGCCAAGTGTGCAGAGCTGAATTTTGAAATGTTAATAATACTTAAGTATAAAGTGACTCCAGTATAAACATAATTTTTCTTTTCTTGACAATAGAAGAGATGTGGTTAAACTCTAGCAGTACTGGCAGTAGACCTGCAACTGACATAGGCAAGAAAGGGAGAGCCTCGCTCAGGGCTGATGCGCAGCCAGTTTACATGGGTGAAGCTGCTTCAGTTGTTAAAATACTGCACTTTTCATTACTAATAGGTTAGTAGCTGCTGTCTCAGCGCCCTGAGGTACTCTAGTACCTTGACTTGTGCTAGGACCTCCCCATATCTAGCAACAAAAGGGGATAACTGTACACCCTGCTCGAGCACTATGATTGGTGTCCAACTGATTATTAAATATTTCTAACACTACCCTGTCTCCATTTCCATCTCTGTTTTCATTCCTAGGCATGTGCTGGTCACTGGCTACCATAATTATTCCAGCACCTTCATTCTGTATTTCCAAAGAAAGGTAAATTTACATTTACATATATATTTTTTCTTTTTTAAGGAAGGAAGTGAACATCAGAAGGGTAATCTTATTTCTTAGAAGGCAAGAAGTTTATCATGGGTCCTATTATTCCGGTAACTCAAATCACATGCAGATAAGATTTATCAGGGATTCTGTTTTTCTTCCTGAAATCAGTCCAAAAACTGCCTCATCTTCTCATTGCCTGACTGAGCCTCTCACCTATCTAAAGCATAACATCCTCCCTACTCCCCAAAGGAGAGAAAGCTAATTCTTGATCTAACAAGAGCACAGCATTCATAAATAGAAGGTATAGCACTTTCAAAATGCATCCAATGACCTAAAAATGTTATCTATGATATAACACATCAATGCTTAGAGTATCAAAATAACTTGAAAGAGATTTATTTTTACCTACAAGGAATGAAAAATAGTTCATTAAGTGGCTAGACAAAAGCTCATGTGTAAGGATAAACTTGATAACAGAATATCAAGAAAACAGTATAATTAGTTTTTAAAATAAATAAAACCACATTTAAAAAAATAGGGATTTTAATAAGTCAGAGAATAGAAAATTGTATGACTATTCGAACTGACTTTTCTAGGAACTGGATTTTCATCAACACATATGGTAGTTATAATGGCAAGTTAGTAATTATGTATGTTTTTACTACTGTTGTGGTTTCTGCTTTTCTTAGGATGAGTTTTGTTTGCAGATATTTCTCTTTTTAGAACAGTCTCTGAAAGGGTAAAATGTTAGCAAGAGCTAAAATTTTTTAAATATCCAAGTGCAAAAGTAAGTGTAACTCATCCAATATACCTTGTAATTTTAAGAATCCTAAAAAAAATTAAAGTACAAGATGCATTTACTTTATGTAATTCGTCATAAAATAGAGACAAAGAATGTCCATACCTGCATAGGTCCTGGAATACAAGACAGAACTCTGTCTATGTTCTCAGTGGTCACATCAACATCATTCACGGCAACAAGGACATCACCTTAAACCAGAGAAACAATAAAAGATAGTTGTGAGAATATCCAAAGGCTAGAGATCTAGTACTGGAACATTAGAAAGCATCTGTTCTGATGTGATCCCTTCAAAGCACAATGGAAAACGTGGTACAGACATTCAGGGACTTGTCCAAAGCTACACAGCTTATTAGTGGCAGAGTTAGGTTCCCAATCCCACTCTTCTCCTAAACTATGATGGATAACTAAATACAATCTATGAATATTTAAAGAGATGAATATTCTCATTCTTGATACAACTGAGAGAATTATGTAAACCCAAAGGACAAATGGAAAATTTGTAGCATAAACCAAGTATTGCACTTAACAAAATTGAATCTAACCACTTAGACCCACAATTAAAAAAATTCAGAAGTAAAAGCTGAAACTGTAATTAAATCCATGTGGTACATCATAACTCAATATGCTGCGGTATACACTGTTATTACTGATCTGTGTCTACACACAGCTATTTGTTTCAAATCCCCAATCATATAAAAGTCCACAGCATGTTTTGTGAAAATCTACTTTTTCATGGTGTTTCGTTTATCAAATTTGGTGGCTTTAATAAAATAAAGATCAGTGCTAAAATGGAAATTTACTTTCACAGTGTAATGTTAAAACACCACTGAGCTATAGTAGTAGAACTATACACATATTAAAGTTGTTTTCTTCTCGTTATTTCTAAATATATCATTAGGAAATTGGTCAAATAATTCATATTCATTATTCACACAACAAATATTTACTGAGCACCTACTGTGTGCCAGGCACAGGACTAGGCATTGCAGATACAGAATTGAACAAAACAGACAAACATCTCTACCCTTATGAAGTTTAATATTCTCTGGGAGCGGGGCAGATGAAAAACACACATATACGTAAAATGGTGTTGGGAGACAATTTTCCATGGGTCTCTCGTGTTTCTGCACATCTTGCAATCCAAGGTACTGAGAATCTTTGTCCTGGATTATCTTTTCAGAGAGCGGGAATGGCAAGTGAAGGAGGATGACTCCAAGATTTTTGCCCCAAACAACTGGCTTTGCTAGGAACTGAGATGGGGAAGACAGAGGGAGAAGCTCAGGGATTCAGTTATGGATACGTTTAGTTTGAGCTGCTGATTAGATGTGTAAGTGGAGCTGTTGAAGTCAGACTGGAAACATAAATTTGGGAGTCATCAATACATAGATGATATTTAGAGCCATAAGACTGGATGTCTCATGTTCTTCCCTTAAAGAAGGCAATTCAGACAAGCTTACCATACATTTTAATACTCTACACCCTGTATCAAAACAAATCTGAGATAGAAATTACACAAGTAACTTTAACCTCTGACAACACAGAATATAACACACTAACCCATCGCCAGTGTCATGGATTGAATTGCGTCCCCAACAAATATCTGTCAGCTTGGCTGGATCATGATTCCCAGTATTGTATAATTGTGTACCATTTTGTAATCTGATGTGATTTCCTTATGTGTTGTAAATTCAATCACTATGATCTAACAAGATGGATTAGCGGCAGTTATACTGATGAGGTATACAAGATTGGATAGTGTCTTAAGCCAATCTCTTTTCAGATATAAAACCTCATACCACCAA